ATCCCCTTTATTTGTTTATTAGGTGATGAGTGTTGCTGTCTGGTGTTTTTTTTTGCAGAGAAATATTGTAGCTTTTACCTCTGTTTATGCTCAGAGAGGACACAGGAGGACTCCTTTGCTCAGGCGTGTAGCTGACTGGCACGGCGGTGATGTTGGCCCAGGCTGGGATACCTTTGTTATTATTGGGTGCATTTGGAGTTAATCCCAGAGTACCTGTTGAATGACAGTCATAATTAGGATATTTTTTTGATTGCAGAAATATTGAATAGTAGTATTTTTAAGGTCACGTTGTTTTACCAGTGTAAGGCAGGTGCACCACTGTTTACAACAAACAGATTTGTGTGGGTTAGGATGGATTTACACCAGTGTCTCCACCAGGAGTATGACTTACCAGGGCACACCACAAGCTATTGATGAAAAACAGACCTTGACTTTTTAACTCTTATTCATCTGAAGAGACCCCACCTAAGCAAACCCCACAGTGCAAGGGCTTAAGTGTGTTGCTGAATAAAAACCTGAATTTTGAAAATTCAGCATGTGGTAAAAACTTTGCTGACTTGCAGACCCTGAGTTTGAGGTGCCTGAGAAAAGTTAAGACTCTTTCTGCATACCCTGGGATGACCCACATGGATAAAGGCTGCAAATAAGTGCAAGCATTTAAAATATGATCCACTCACCCTTCTGCTAGAGTCCTCTCTGCCTTTGCCATGACAGAGGCAGGAGAAAGTAACATGGGTCCTTCCTCTCCCACTTAGATCATAAAGCAAAATGGTCTTAAATGATCCATGAAACTTGGTTTGTTTTAATGTGTTGGGCTGAAAAATGGTAAGAGCTGAAGCACGGCATATAATCACATCTTCTAGCCCTGCTCTGAAGAGGAGTAAGGAGAAAAGGAGCTGGGGGGCAACAGCAGGAGAGAAGATTGCACAGCTAGATCTTCTAAATCTCTTCCAGCACCTTTTTCTTGAGCCTCTAACTCAGATCACAGTCTGCTTCTACTCAGGCAGTGTTCTTAGCACAGTTAGATGTGGAGTGCAGGTAATAAAGGTACTGAAAACTGGACAGAGGCTTCTGAGTTTCCAGGTCATATTAATTCCACAAACTATTATGCATGAAGGAGCTCTCCCAGGTCCATACCCAGTTTGGCAAGAACTCTGTCATAATTAAAGAACAACTAGACAACCCTTTGAAAAATGGGGGATTTTGGTGGAAGAGACACAGGCTCTGTCTATGAAGACAGACCATGGAGCTCTGGTGGGACCTGTGTAAGGACAGACAGAAAATCTGTTTTAGATCACCACACAAGAAATGATATTAAAATCACTTAAATCCTCTGCATCATCTAAATGAACATAATTATGGGCTGAATTAGACAAATGGTCTGAAGGTAGTCAACTCTGCATAAATGAATACATGTTATTTCTATGCTGAACTCTTTGGTGGTTGTGAGTTGTAGTATGCACTAAAACTAAAAATGGTTTAACATCTCAGCTGCAGACTTTGAGATGGAAATGAAGAATAAATTAAACTAAAAGGAACAGCTGACAGATACAAGAACCCCACTTCATTGAGCCAGAATCAGGACATTTTTATAGTTATCCTCCAGGAGCTTCAGCAAAGTCACTTCCAGTGTTCAATGCCAGGTGGGTGATGTTGGTGGTGTAATGTAGTTGCTTCTTTCCTTCACAACCAGTTCTAAACACTTCCATTTATTAATAGGTTTTAAATCACCAGACCCAGTTGTTCAAGGAGTGGATGTGTTGCTTTCAGTGCTCCCATCTCACTGCCAGTGCTCTCCTGACAGCAACAGTTGTGCTTTTGCAAATCACTGTCTGGTGAGGGCACAAAACAGTTGCCAAATTTCACTGGAAGCACATAGAATCATAGAGTGGTTTGGGTTGGAAGGCATCTTTTAAGGTCACCTAGTCCAACCCTCCTGCAGGGAGCAGGGACTTCTGTAACCAGAGCAGGTTGCTCAGAGCCCCATCCAACCTCACCTGGGATGGTTCCAGGGATGGGGCAGCGACCACCTCTCTGGGCAACCTGGGCCAGGGGCTCACCACCCTCAGGGTCAAAAATTTATTCCTTAGACCTAATCTAAATATTCACTCTTTTAGTTTAAAACCATCACCCTCTGTCCTGTTGCAACAGCCCCCACTAAAAATATTGTCCCTATCTTTCCTATAGGCCCCCTTTAAGAACTGAAAAGGCCACAAGAAGGTCTATGCAGGGATGACTTTGGATATGGTAGACACCCACAGATGTCTACAGCTTTTTGTTTGGGACTGATTCTACCATATAATGCCAGAACAAGCCAACCCCACTTCTTTTTTTTTTACTAGAGGACTTAGTAATGTTGGCTTGATGGTCGGACTTGATGACCTTAAAGGTCTCTTCCAACTTAAAGGATTCTATGATTCTTTTGGCCAGATGTAGCCTTGCTGTAACAAGGGCCTTGGAAGGCGTTTTGAAGCAATGGATTTAAACCCAGGGGTTGAATTAGGGACTCTTGTTACAACAACTAAGATTCCATGTGGGCTCGTGGCTGATTGATAAGAAACTTAGGAAGCTTCCAAGGCTTAAAAGTGGAGATAAAATGTGGTTTAGTGCAAAGAGGACTTCTATAGCAGGGTTCTCTCAAACTGGCTGAAGGTTTGGTCGGATTTCTCTGAAAACACAGGCTATTCTGTAAGCACAAACATATGGAGTGAACAACAAGCAGTTATTCTTCCAACAAGAAGAACAAACCTGGAGCCAACAACGAACAGTTATTCTTCCAACAAGAAGAACAAAATGAGAATGGGAAGTAGAGTGGTGGACAGACTGAGACACTGACCTGAGCAGCAGCCCCTTCTGGGGTCTTTGGGCTGGTCTGCCAGCATTATCTCGTCCTTTTCGGCGTTCTCTATCAGCATGGCTGTGAAGGGGGTAACAATATGGTGGTCAAGAGACATCTGTAGGATGGATTTGGTGATGTTCCTCTTCAAAGCTGCAGTGGGGGCTGTGTTTCTAGGTGGAATATGAAACACAAGGCATGGTTAGCAGCTCTATGGGGAAGCTGCTGTGACAATTACTCCACAGAGTGGTCATAGAGCCAAACTGGCAGGTGCTGCAAGAAGGAAAGGATGAGGAGCTGTGGAAATGCACTCTCCATAAAAACCACTATTGCTGGCTTCCATGGGCTTTGGCCTTGTCTCAAAAAGCCCAGTCCATCTCCTGGATCTCAGCAAAAAATTCATCCTGAACTGCTCCACAACTTTTACTCAGGCTCTGTAAGGCAAATCTCCCATTCATCCACTCAGTCCCACAGCCAGGTCTGTGTGACCCCTGGTCCTCTAGTCAACTGCTCTCAAACTCTAGTCCCTGATATCTATGAGTGCTCAGAACAGGAGGGACGTGGCTGGAGATATCACCTACCTTTATTTTGATGGATTACCTTCCCCATTTGAAACCCTGAGGGCAGCCCCATGTCTGTGGGCTCAGAAACAGATTGCTCTCAAGCTTCTCTTCCCTCCCACCCCAGACCACATTGCTCCTCACCTCTCTGCCAGCATCTGGTTGACAGTCAGATAGGCCCACAGCTTTTTAGTGAATTCAGGATCTGCATATCTGTCTTTCTTCATGAAGCCATCCAGCTCTTCGACGTCTCGCAGGGTTTCCATGACAAGCTCAGCATTGGCCTGTGCAGTCAATGAGAGATGAAGATGATGGAGGGTGAGCTGGGAGAATGGGTGCCAGAAGAAGAGGCTCTTAACAGAGCTCTGCTGTCCTCCCCTCAGGGGTTTTCACATCCAGTTCCTACTGAGGAGCAGGAACCAAATTCTGTCTCCTCCCATGGACCCTTGGGCTGCACTGTGTTTTGGCAGGATAAAATATTGACCGTGTCTGATTTTTTTTTCCAGCAACTAACAAATGGCAACTCCTGAGCCCAGGAGGAGTGTGGATATTTTGGTTCCTCCTCAGAAGGAAGGATCTGAATGGAGTATTCCTACCCCATCCTAGTCCACCTGGAAGAGCAGTCTTAGGTGCTTTGCAGTTGAATTTGTTACAGTACATTTATGGAAGGAAGTTCCTCTGTCAGGCTGCAGGTAGTCACTATTCATGGCTGCACTTGAAGCTATTGTGAAGCACTGTTGGACAATCCCCCCCATGAATTCCTCATGCTCCCATGCAGAACCCAAGCAGAAAAAACTGCTGGCAATGAGTGAATAAACCAGCCCAACCCCCAGGAGCAGGTCTCCCAGGGACACCTTCACTCACCGCTGTGGCTGTAACGATGCTTTCCAGGTGCTGGAGGTTGTCTGTGTCCACCTTCCCAGCCACTACTATCTCCGAGCCACCAAAGTAGTTGTGGAAGCTGCTCTGGGTGACATCTGACACTGACTCCTGGGGGTAGTTGAACTGAATCTTCTTTAGGAGTGGGGTGGAGACCTGGTTGTAGAAATTCTGAGATGGAAGGAGACAGAGAAGTGAGTCTGTTGTACCTGAAGTGACCCTCCCACAGGCACCACTCTTACTGAAAGGACAACAGGTGACAAAACCTGGAGACCTAATGGGCAAGTGGGACTCTGCTTGCTGCAGAGAATGCAGATTTCTGTATTCTTAGACCTTAATACACTTGTAAGGGAGTACAGCAAGAAGATCTTGCCCAAGTCTTGTGGAAGTCAAAGGATGGTGAGAAGCCCTTGGGCTATGTTCTTCCTAGAACTTCCTAGACTTCCTAGAAGTCTTGAGCACAGGTGTATATGGGCCTGAACCTGTTATCAGGTTGGTCAGCTCTTGGCTACTGTGAGACACACAGCTGCTTCCCACCTAATTCTTGCCAAAACCTAGACCTATCTCTCACTTGTATTCACTTCTGTGCTGTAGACAGTCTGCCCTTATCTGACCCTGTTGAACCTGGCTGATGGGAACTGAGATGTGTGCACAGATGGGCTTATCCTATGGGACCAGAGAGAGAAAACAGGTCCCCATGTGGTCCTATGGGTGGAGGCTGTCCCATACTGAGGGCCTGCACTCTTCGAGCTCCTCTGGTTAGCAGAACACCACGTAGAGTGTCCTGGCACACCTTTGTGAGTCCTATCACACCGGTGTGGGAAAAGCAGCAGCATGAGAAGCCTGCACTGGTGATGAAACCAGGGAAGACAAACAGAATAAGGGTGCTAGGGTTTGCTCATCAGAGCAGCTCATGGGCTTGGAGCCAGAGCCTCCTAGAATTGAACTTTTCCTTACACTGGTGAAGTTTGGATTATCATTTAGCATCCTGGCCTTTGGCTAGTGGCCTGTGGTAAAACCTAGGTCTTAATTTTAATTCAGAAATCTTTTTTTATGATTATGACTGCTTTATAGAGTACTAATCCTACACATAGCAGTAAAATATGTATCATAGATACTAGAGAAATTGCAGCTGGGAGCACTCAAGCCACTACATGATTGTCATCTTGCAGGACTCTCCAGCAGAAACGATGCTTTTTGTGACCCCTGCTAGGAACCTCCAGTAACTCTGCCCTTGCTAGTGGGGTTGCCCAGCTCCACAGCTCTGATCAGAACTGGGCAGTTGCAGAGGCGATGGGCTGAACACCCACCTTCATTTGGGCAGAAGTCTCCTGATTTCCAAAAATCCTCTGGGCCATGCCGCGGTTGTCGACGGCGATTCTCTGCAGGAAATCGTAATCTACATCAAACCCAATCCCCAGGCAGAAGAGAGAGAACTCATCCTTCATGCTCTGCTTCACGTTCTTCTGGATCGTCGTCAGCTTCAGCTCACCTTGGAGACACACAGAGTGACATCCACGTGAGCAATGGAGGAAGGCTCCACCAAGGGAAGTGCATTCATGCTCTTCCAGTGCCTCTGGTTCTCTGACAACCAGCTCAGGTGCCAAGTCTCCATTTTGCAGTGCCTACAGTGACATTTGAGCGTCATCTGGATGGGAGTTAACCCATTGTTTCCACTGAAGATAATTCCTTTGAGCTCTTTTTTTGGTCTCTGACCCATATTTGTATATCCAGGGCATTTAACTTCCTGGGGAGTCTGTAATTCTATCACTTTTAGACTTCTCCCAGAATTAGTTTCAAGCTGTTTGCAGACTAAGACATCTCCATAAAAGTTTTACTTTATTTCTCATGTTTAAGATATTCTCTGACTTATTTTTTTTTTCAAACTTATTTTTCAAGGCAGCCTTTTCTGGGCTGGCACCTTGCAGCGAGTGATTGCTTTTGACATGCACCAACCCTCATCCAAATTAATTTGATTTTTGACTTATTTTCCCAACTTTGATGTTACATTGGGACTGCATGTGTCTTCTCACCTGAAGCAGCTTTTACTTTGTTTCTCATGCTTAAGATATTCTCTGACTTTTTTTTTTCAAACTTATTTTTCAAGGCAGCCTTTTCTGGGCTGGCACCTTGCAGCGAGTGATTGCTTTTGACATGCACCAACCCTCATCCAAATTAATTTGATTTTTGACTTATTTTCCCAATTTTGATGTTGCATTGGGACTGCATGTGTCTTCTCACCTGAAGCAGCATCCTTACCTACTGTTGGGTCTCCATCAGACACAAATACGATCATGGAGACTGAGTTAGGGTCCAACATGCCTAAGTTTTGGGCCTCGCTCAGGATGAATGTGGCTCGGAGAAGAGCTTCGTTGATATTTGTGCCTGTCAAAGACACAGTGAAGAGAACAAGTCTGATTCTTGTTGAGTCTCTGGTTGAATCCAGTTCTGAGATTCGAGTGGAATTAATCAAGGACAAGACCTGAGATTAAAGGCAGCAAAGCCCCTCCCATGTGATGCTTACAGTACTTCTGCTAGCACTCTGGTTCCATTTTTCATCCCAGATTGTCATCTCCCTGTGGCCCTCGCAGCCCCCCTCACTAATTCCAGTGGGAGTGTCTGTGGTGTTGGGAACTATTTGCTGTGGGGTGAAGTAGGGGGTTTGCAGGCAGATGTTTGAATGAAAGCATTAAGAAATTTTATTTTCTGGCATCAGCTTGTTCCTTGGACATCCTGACTGGAAAAGAAGAGGTGTCTGTTTACTGAGCCTGTATAAAGGTTTGGCTTGTGGCACAGAATCATGGAATTGTTTAAGTTGGAAAAGACCTCTGAGATCATTGAGTTCAACTGTTAACCCAGCACTGCCAGGTCCCCACTGACCCATGTCTTTCAGCACCACATCTATGTGGCTTGGCAGCCCCTCCAGGGATGGGGACTCCACCACTGCCCTGGGCAGCCTGGTCGAATGCTTAACAACCCTTTCAGTGGAGAAATTGTTCCTAATATTCAATCTAAACCTCCCTTGGTGCAACTTGAGGCCATTTCCTCTTGTCCTATCACTTGTTACTCGGGAGAAAAGACCAACCCCCACCTTGTCCATCCTCCTGTCAGGGAGTTGTCGAGAGTGAGAAGGTCTCCCCTGAGCCTCCTTTTTTTTCTCCAGGTTAAGCAACCCCAGCTCCTCACAAGACACTCCTCACAAGACTTGTTCTCTAGACTCTTCCCCAGCAGCTTCGTTGTCCTTCTCTGGCCACGCTCCATCCCCTCAGTGTCCTTCTTGGAGTGAGGGACCCAAATCTGACCCCAGGATTCGAGGTATGACCTCCCCAGTGCCCAGTCCAGGGGAACAATCCCTGCCCTGCTCCTGCTGGCCACACTAGTGCTGACACAAGACCCCAGGATGCTGGCGGCCTTCCTGGCCACCCGGGCACACCCGGGCTCATATTTAGTTGACTGTCAACCAACTCCCCCAGGTCCTTTTCTGCTGGACACTTTCCAGCCACTCCTCCTCAAGCCTGTAGCATTGCAGGGGGGTGTGACCCAAGTGTGAGACTTGGCACACAGCTAGGACAGGTAAGGCATTAGTAGGACAGGAACAGGAGTAGGAAGGCTGAACAGTCAGAAAATAGGTATTTTTCTTTTTGTCAAGAAAGAAAAAAATTAGCAGCTTCAGAGACAGGACAATGGAATACTCCACTGCAAACTGGTTTTGCTGGCTGGGAGCAGGTCTCTTAGCTTATCAGTCAATTCTTCTGGACTATCAAAGTCAGGCTTGTCAGGAACTCATACACCCAACACGGTTTCCTATTCCATGATGATTGTGGACAAGTCTAGAATTTCATGTTGTTTCTATCTTATGTGTAGCCAGGGAAAGCTCTGGCAATGAAGATGCCACAGCACCAGAAGGCTCTGATGTTGGGGAGAAGAACCTCTACATGCTATCAGCATAGACATAACAGAACAGCTAAACCAGAACTGCACTTCAGAGAGAAATAGATTAAAATGCTTGTGAGTCCCTTCTGTACAAAGAGCTCAAACACTAACAACTGAAGCATCAGAAGTGCTGTAAGGCTGAAAAAGACAACTGCCCTTGTTTATCAGACAGGGAATGAAGGCACAAAAGGGATGAACAATTTTGCCCAGGGTGGCATTTAGTAGATCATGGTGTAATCTACAATTTGCAGCCAGTGAAGGCCCTGGAATAGGGCTGTTAATGATCTGCTTTGCAAAGGCATGAAAGGGCTTGGTCTTTCAAGGGTAGTTGGGATCTGTGAGGCTGGAGGTAGGACCTTTAAAGGCAGCTGTTCCGTTGTCTTTGTTTTATCTGTTGTAGCTCATTCAGTAGAAGGAATTGCCTTCTTCTACCTTCAGCACAATAAACTGGAATCCTTGCCCTCCTTTAGCCCCAGGTCTTGCTTTTCCCATCTTGGGAATCAAGCTCTTTGCTAGGAATACCCTGCCAGTCTGGAGGTTGACTGAGCTACCCATTCCTATGATATCCAACTTCCACGAGCACCTTGCTAATCAAACCTTCATACCCCCATTGGGATGGATTGTCTGGATGTACTTCTTGGCATCCTCCACCTGTGCTGGGGTGGCTGAGACCAGGTTATCTCTCCAGCATCGGACGTTGTGGTTGAAGTCGATCAGGGAGAACTGATCAGTAGCACGGAGCTCACTCAGTATTGCCTTCATGGCCTCGATGGTCTGAGAAGAGGAAATGTAAGAGAAGATGAGTTTATGCTTCCTGTTGATGAAAGCATCTTCTTTACTCATGACTGCGGGTAAATAGATGCCTCTGATTAATAAGAACATATGCACTGGATTCCAAAATAACATCTGTTATCCAAAACTCTCCTTTTTTACACTTCCTGCATAAAGTTGAACTTTTCTCCAAAGACAAAAATGCAATTAGTGAGAACAACCCCATGTGACTTAACTCATCCTTTCTTAACTCCTGCTAACACAGAGTGAGGAGAGAGAGAAGCAGTTTGTGAGATGTTGTGGTTCAGGAGGGAGAAATTGCTTGCATCAGCTTGGGGGACTCAGCTCTGTCATTTCAGGCTGGGTAACATCTGTTTGGTTTGAAGATACGTGATTTAAACAAGCCTGTATCCCAGTTTTGAGCATGGGTTTCCCCAAAGAAGCCATATGCCAAGCTTTAGTAGTGTGCTCCAAAGCAAATTCAACTATACCTAGATCATTCCCAACTCATATTTGTCTGACAGTTCTCAAAAACTTTCAGTGACACAAGATCTACAATCTCCTGAACTCCCCTCTCAGCACTACAGAGTTTTTTCTAATATTTAATATAAATCTCTCCTGCTGTAGATCCATCTGATTTCATCTTATTCCACCCTGGATGTGCATGAACACCAGTTGGTGAGTTTCTCTTTTAGAACAGTCATTCATGTATTTGGAGGCTGGTTCTGGCTCTCCAAACCTTTTCTTTTGCAGACTAAAACATCTTTCTTTCCTTCCCCACCCCCAGTAGGTTCTGTTCTCTAAACCATTCTTACTGCTCTTCAGTGCAGTCAACAATTTTTTGTGACAAATTGTTGACAATTTGTTGACAACAAAATGTTTTGTGATCTGTTGATTAACATTTTAATTCAGAGCTGAATTCCACATTATTTTGGAATTATTATTATTGTGGAAGGAGCATCACAGATAACGAGTACAATTTTTTCTGACAAATTGTCAACAATTTGTCACAAAATATTTTGTGATCTGTTGATTAAAATTTTAATTTAGAGCTGAATTCCACATTATTTTGGAATTATTATTATTGTGGAAGGAGCATCACAGATAACGAGTAAAATCATCAAGTCTTTGATTCACCAAATATTGACCAAATCCAGTGAGGCTTTTGATGAAGGAAAGTGTAAAGAAGGAAGCTGGTAATTTTGAGTGCCACCCTGCTACAGAGTTGTAAGGCACGTGGGAAAAGTTGGCAGGAAGTTCACTTTGCAAGAGAGGTCAAACACTTACTTGTTTCATTTTCAGTCCCCACATCGAGCCACTGACATCTATAACAAATAAAATGTTTTTGGGCAGAGGATCAAGATTTTCCGGAGCAAAGAAGTGAATAAAATAGCCATTAAAAATCTGAAAAATAAAACCAGAAATTCACAGTGAGGTGAGCTACAATAAAGATGTCAGAAAACTGAAGATTATAAGAGAGCAGGAAACATTATTCTTCTTTATGGGCCAATTCTGACTTTCAGCCCCACACAGCTCCGTGGCCTTACACCATTTATACTCTCTATATTTTTTACTTTATTTTTTTTAACCTTTCTTTTACTTTTAATACTCTTTATTTTTTATCAGGGAAAGCAGAGCCTGGTTCTCAGAAAACTGCCATGCACTAACATAGGAAGGAATGAAAAATGTTTTAAAACAGACTCTTCCATCCATAATAATTCAACCCCATAACTCTGCTTCACATGAACATAAAAATAGTGATGTTCTGGTTGTCTCCTTGTGATGCATTGGTACAACATCCCATCACTCTGTCCTCTGATTCCACATTAAATCACCAGAGTGCTGCTAGGTATCAAAGACACTGGATTTTGGACAAGGCAGGAATCTGCTCCTGACTATACGTAGGGCCATGTCTTAGTCATAAATTAAGTAAATCCATTCTGCCCACTTAAAATCTCTCTGTTCTTTCAATTGGATACAGAGCTCTCACGCTTATTCTCCTGAATGATGAAGTTTATTTAGCACACTTTGCTAAAAGACAGCAATTCTTGGATTCACAGGTCTCCCATCCCAGCTAAACAGCAACACTCACTTCCAGTTCTCCACCCGTGGTATCTCTGTTCACATCATATTGCACCACAAAATTTCCATCTACTGCTGTGGAGGAGCACGTGGGGCACTTTCGTTGTTGAGTCATGGTTGGCTTGAAAGAAATATGGGCCTTGAAAGGAGAAAGGTGGATCATTGAAACAAAAAGACTTAATTTATTCATGAAATATCTTATTTCACTGAAGACTTCTCTGGTTTTTTTTTTAATTTGTACTCTTAGCTTAAGTGGAAAATGGGCTTTGTCACTTCAAAAGGAGAGCAGCACTAAGGTTTGCCTGGATATGCTGATTCAGTTGTAGCAACAGTGACACAAATAAGATGATCCATCTACAGCACCAGATATTTCAATTAGAGCTCTGCAAACCATTTCTAGGAATATTCTGCCTTACTTAACATTTTCATAGTTGAAACTATCCATAATTTTATCAACATTTTTAATAGCTTTTAAATTGATTTTTTTTTTCCCAAACAAGTAATTTGTAATTTGTCTGTGGATTGAGTACTAGGAATCATTTTAATTAGGCACGTGATTGGCTATGCAGAATTTGTGACATTATTTTTCTGCTTTGACTGGATAACTTGAAGTTTTCTGAGAAGATAAGACATCATGTATATAACCAAACGTTACCTCTGAAACAACATATTACACTAAGAATGCTGGGTAATGAGACATAAAGCTGAGCCTGGATATCAAGAAACAATACCTGTATTAGATGACTATGTAAGAGTGAGAAGAGTTGTACCCTCCCAGAGCCACTGCTTGAAGTTTAAGACAAAATTCTCTCCTGTTGGAGAATTTGTTGGTGGCTTTACTCACACCCACGAGCTATGCTGGAGAAAGCTGGGGTAAGGGTGTTAAGAAAAAGAAAAATCCTAAAATAAGCCCTTGTGCAGGTAATCTCAGTTGAAAGTGAGATTGTGGAGTTACTCTAGGATGGTTATTCCACTTGGTATTCATCACTCACCCTTTTCACAGAATCCCAGCATGGTGGGGGTTGGAAGGGACCTCTGGAGATCACCTCATCCAATGTCCCTGCTCCAGCAGGGTCACCTAGAGCAGGTTGCCCAGGATGGCATCCAGGCAGGTAGAGCGGGAGCCTCCCCAGCCTCTCTGGGCAGCCTGTTTCAGGCTTGGCCACCCTCATAGGAAAGAAATTTTTCCTGATGTTCAAGTGGAACTTCCTGTATTTGATTGTGCTTGTTACCCTTTGCCCTATCAGTAGGCACCTCTGAGAAGAGACTGGCCCCATCCCCTTGGCCACCACCATTTAGATATTAATAAGCATTAATAATATCCCCTCCCAGTCTTCTCCAGGCTAAACAGTGCCAGGTCTCTCAGCCTTTCCTCAGCACAGAGATGCCCCTCTCCCCTCACCATCTTTGTATCCCTCCACTGGACTCTCTCCAGTATCCAGGTCTCTCAACCTTCCCTCAGCACAGAGATGACCCTCTCCCTTCACCATCATTGTATTCCTCCACTGGACTCTCTCCAGTAGTTCCTTTTCTCTCTTGAACTGGGGAGTCCAGAACTGGACACAATACTCCAGATGTGGCCTCACTAGGGCAGAGCAGAGAGGGAGGAGAATCTCCCTCGACCTGCTGGTCACACTCTTCTTCATGCACCCCAGGACAGCATTGTCCTTCTTGGCCACAAGGAACACTGCTGACTCACGGCCAACCTGCTGTCCACCAGGACCACCAGGTCCTTTGCAGAGCTGCTTTCCAGCAGGTCAACTCAAAACCTGTACTGGTGCAGGGGGTTATTCCTCCTCAGGTGCAGAACCCTACACTTGCCCTTGTTGAACTTCCTTAGGTTCCCCTCTGCCCAACTCTCCAGCCTGTCCAGGTCCCACTGAATGGCAGCACAGCTCTCGTGGGTCAGCCACTGCTCCCAGTTTGGTATCACCAGCAGATTTGCTGAGGATCCACTCTGTCCCTTCATCCAGGTCACTGATGTTACCTTTTTCTCTCCCTTGGAGATGGTGGCGAGTCCATCGAAATGGTCCCCGAGGGAGTTAGGAACATGCACGTAGCGAAGCCCCTGGGGCTCGATGATCCGGACATCCACCTGAAGGCAGGAAGGGAAGACACTTGGCATAGAGCAGTTCCAGTGATGCAACAGATCTTATTGAAGTGCTGGGGTAAAACCCCCAGCTCTGAAGGAGCACACAGATGATGTCCACAGCCAGGCAGAAAAGCCCCTCCTGCTTGGTTTTCACCCACGGCCTGGCCAGCCTTGGGTGGGAACTGATGAGGAGATCACCACCAGGTGACCCTGCCTTCAGCATTAACATCATGTGTCCTGCCAGAGCTAGCTTCCCATTTGGTGGGCTTGGAAGGTCTGTTTATACAGTGCATGTGTTGTATGGGGATACTAGCTACTGGAAGAGCTCCCTGACTCTTCATGGCAAGTAGAGTTCCTAGGATGGCTGTGCCAGAGTGTGAAGTTGTCTCTGAGTTCCTAATCTATAACTGGGCTCATGGCCTGGCTGCTATCATCGCCCATGGCTTGGAGCTTCCCATTTGGTGGGCTTGGAAGGTCTGTTTATACAGTGCATGTGTTGTATGGGGATACTAGCTACTGGAAGAGCTCCCTGACTCTTCATGGCAAGTAGAGTTCCTAGGATGGCTGTGCCAGAGTGTGAAGTTGTCTCTGAGTTCCTAATCTATAACTGGGCTCATGGCCTGGCTGCTATCATCGCCCATGGCTTGGCTACTTGCCTGTTTCACTCCCTTATTCATGTCCACTGTGGTGGGTGAGTGCATTGACTTGTTTCTTCCTCTGGTTGTCTGGCCCTTTGGATCTCTGGTGTGTGATGAGGGAGGAGTTTGGTTGCTGTTCTGCCCATTAATGATAATATCCATTTATGTCAGGCAAGTGGTCAGCAGAAGACTTATAAACCCTACACAGACAAGCTACAGCTAGGGAGTGAGTTGCCCTTTTGAGTGCTCCTGTAGGGCTAGTCTCATTCATGGTGGAGATCCAAGCAGGGCTGAAAATAAACCATGATGGAAAAGCAGAAAAAAAAAAAAATTGAAAATAAACCATGATGGAAAAGAAAAAAAAAAAAGTGTCTAAAGAATAGGATGAATTTGGTGGAAATGTTCTTTCTCTCTCACTCCCTGGGGCAAGTGGTGGGATGGGAGTCTAAGGTGAGGTGATTGTTCATGCTGAAAGCATGAAAGAAGCATGAAGTGACTCTGCCTCGGTGCTGCTTTGGCTTAGGAGCCCAGGAGGAACTCTTGGTGATGAGCTCTCTCCCTCTCTACTCATGCTATTGCCAGGGGATTTTTGCTGTTGCTAGTATGGCCAAGGTGATTTGGGAAATAAAGGCTTTATCCTGTCAGCTTGAAACAAGGCCTTTGTCTGTTGTGTTTCTGAATAGTTAGTAGGACTATGAGGAGACAGGACATGACACATTTTTAATAGAACTAACCCAGGCCTTTGGACAGCTTGAAGCTGTCCTGATCACAGCCTGCACCAGGGAAATGTGAGCAGCAGAATTCCACATCTAGCCTATGATGAAGCCATGGACAGGTGAAGAAGACATTTATGAAACAAGTAGGACTGTTAGGAGGCAGGACATGACATGCTTTTCAGTAGAACTAACCCAGGCCTTTGGACAGCTTGAAGCTGTCCTGATCACAGCCTGCACCAGGGAAATGTGAGCAGCAGAATTCCACATCTAGCCTATGATGAAGCCATGGACAGGTGAAGAAGACATTTATGAAACAGGAACAAAGGAATGGCCAGATGAAAGTGTCCAGCTAGCCCTGTATCTTGTGTCTGTTGATGGATGGCAGAGGACACATTTGGATGAGTGTAGGAAAAGGGGTAAGAACGAGGCAAATCATCCTTTGACAGACTGTGGAGGGACTGTCATTCAGAGACCATCTGCTCCCATAGGACACTATCTCATGGAGTTGGGATTATTGTGAAAAACACGGTTATAAATAGCAAATATTGTTTTCCTTCAAGAAATGTTTACACAAAAGTATATATAGGCCAAAGCTGCTTTGCCCAAGTGGTTCTGACCTGAGTCAGTCATGATTCAGGAGGTGCTCAACTGTGTTAGTATGAGAGGATAAAAAACACCTTTTCCCCTCACTTGTGCAGCTACATAGCTCCTGGTTTGAGGTGTTTCATGCTGGTCTACACAGCCACCTTGAGGCTATTAGTACAAAGCCCACATGAGAGGAAGGAGCTGTAGATGAAGTGTCCTCCTGTGGGGCTTGCAGGAACCTGATTTCTCAGTGAGGATTCACTTGTGGGGTCCTGCCTGCACACACCAGCTCTACTGTACCTCCATGTGCTTTGCCAAGCGACCTGGCCTCACAGAGATGGTGTGCTCGTAGGAGCTCAGTTTCCTTCGAATCATCTCGTGGTAGTGAAGTTCAAACTGGATCTTCATCCCCGGGGGCACGTTCACTTCAGTTTTGAAGTTCTCCATATCCAAGGCATTGCTCCTGAAAAGTCAGATGTGGGGTCATTTTGAGACAATACAAGGAGGAAGAGGGTTTCTTTGCATTTAGGTTTAGAGTTGTGCATTTGCTGGGTCTGATACAAACTGTGGCTTATATCAGGGAAAGCAGAAACACAAGTGAAGTCCTTGACAGTTAAATATCAGAGCTGCTCTAAGCAAGCACCCCATTTTCCTTCCCAGATTTCCCCTCTCATTTATCTCCTCCTGGGATGGGTGACCTCAGTTTTCCTATGAGTAAGTTCAGTACAACACCCATATGCCCAAGTTTTTATACCTTACTATTCCAGCAGCTTTGCCTTTGGCCTTTGCTTGAGCATACATTTTTCTGGCTTCGGATTTTTCCCGAATTTGGCTGGTAAATGTTATCCCATTGATATCCCTAGGAGAGAGAAGCACAGTCAGTTTGCAAAAGAAACACCTTCACAATTGACGACTGTTTCTTCACTTTCTCAAAACATCAGTGAAATCTAAGCTGGTGGGAAATGAAATAATAAGGCCCTTGTTTAACCCCAAAGTAATGAAGTCTGGTTTCCACTAGATCTGTATCTTTTTCCACTACCTGCTTTTTTATCTTGAGTAGCCAGCACTCGTGTACTCTGAGGAGGATCTGCTCTCCCCCACCTCCTTCATGCTTTCCCCATTCTTTGGGCAGGGCAAGCAGTTACTGATGTCATGGTTGTTTTGGAACATGGATCAGGAGGTGTCTCCTGGCCAGCAAGCTGGCTGCTGCCTCCCTGAATGGATACTGAAGCAGGCTGACTTCTTTCTGTGCAGTGAGGGCTCTGATTTGGGTGGGTCCCTCTTCTTTCATCTGGTGCCAATTTGCAGAAGACCGATGGGAGCTTGGTCTATGTGAGATTTCTGTCCTTTTGTCAGATTTTGTTGGTATTGGCCAATAGCCCAATAATTACTGCAGAAGAAGAGATGGGCAGCCAGAATGATCGTATGAAGTTCTGAAGCTACACTGGACCTTGAAAACAGTAAGAGGTGTTTTGCTTTTCCAGATGTGTCCCTTCCACCCCCTCCTGCCACCACGCTGATACCCACCCACTACTTACATAGTAAAGTTGTCAATAAAAGCTCCTTTGGGGACCTGTACATCAAACACTATGTGCTGGGGCCGTTTTGCATTATTCACCATTTTGGCTTGGATCATCGTGTTGGCCAACCGAGACGTTATGGTGGATTGAACCTTGTAGCTGTAAAGACCTATCTTGTCATCATCCTCCACCTGTAATGGACAAAATTACTCTATGAATTTTGGTCACAGCTCGAAAATGCTCCCTAAAGGGCAATATCAACTTCTTTTTTAGTCTCAGTGCCTTTTTTTTTCAGCTGCTGTCCCATGAAGCTGCCATATTATAAGGAACATGAGCTCAGGTTCAGGACACCTCTGTATTTTACCTAGAAATTGTGGCAGGATACTCATGGGAATATGTTTCTTTATAACATTTCAGCTGAGAGAGGGAATTTATTCAGCTGGACTCTTTTCCTTGCTTTTGACCATGCAACCAGTCCTTGGAATGACTGTTGGTGCAATCTAGCATAGAAGGTTACACAGGAATCCTCAACAGCATATACTGAGGAGGAGAGAGCTTACATTTTCAATAAAAGTCCTAAATAAAGGAGACCCAAAGCACTGGTTACCAATCTGGTCTTGTAAATAGTTAAACCATGGCAGAGGGAGAACAGTAATAAATTGGTATATTAAGACACTGTCTTGGTCTAATCACTTTTGATGCTAATTTCTTCATGTTTACCATACCCTTCTCCCTCCAAGAGCAAGTGTGTAAATAGCATTGTGCAAACAGCGCTCTGTTTAAAGAAAATAGGTTAATACCCAACCAGCAGTAAAAACAAGGAACTGAACAAACAGAAGGATTGATTTAAAAAAAAAAAATGGTTAACTAGAAAATCACTTTGTTCATTTTTTTCCACAGAGGAAGGAAAAAAACTCACCAGATCTCCAACATAGCCCCAGTCGGATGTGCTTCGCTGGAAAAGAAAAACGTGGAGAATGTGTTTCAACAAAGCTTAGAACACAGACCGTGGCTGTTTTAAGACAGGGACTAGACAGTGGTAACATCTAAAAGCTGGTCTCCAAGTTGATGAGAATTGGTTTGAGTTCTCAGACTTAGTGTGCATGTCCCTTTTGTCTTATTTGATGGATTTATACAGTGGACGTTGGAGCACATGGTCTCCTAGCTGTGACTTAGAGGGTGTCAAAACAGATGGACAGGGCTCTTCTTCTATCTTTTATTTCTTGTAGAAAACATTCTCTTCTAGAACAAAACCACTCTTCCTGAAAGCAAAACATGGTTTTTGTTTGTTTTTCTAGGAAAAGTAGAAAACTCTCCAACCCCAGATCTTTTCAGCTCATTTTGCTTTCATTGACATGATAGAATTTCTGTGTATATTATTGTATCACATACAATATGTGTGTATAAAACCCCCTATTGTGTAATCAATATTACATTTATGCATGTATGTAAAGTTAGCCATGTATGAGCTGCTTAGATGCACTGAAACTGCTCATTCATGTTTTTTCCCCCTGTCCTATGAGTAGTTCCTTTTGGAAATTTCGATGAAGAGGTGGTGACATCTTGTGGCCATTTGAATCATAGTTTAATTCCCTAAAACTTAAACTCAGGAAGTTTTACATAGACATAAATAATCCTGGGATGGGATTGGGCTCACTTAGTTCTAGCAGGAGATGCAATGGAGATGCAGGCATCTCCTTTGGTGTTATCATCACAACTAGGCAAGCTCAGCTCTTCTCAGCCAATGGAGGGACCCCTTTCATCTGAAAATAGATGCCACTGTTTGGTTGAATGGGTCCAGCCCCAAACCATGCTGACTGTACTGATTAGGGGAGGGGGTACCCAGTGCTGTTGGCTGTCCCCAAGGGTACCACCATGACCTTCAGCTGGGGCTCCAGGAGGCCACGAGGCTCCTGTAGGTCTGGCATGATATCTGACACTCAGTAACATGTCTTGGACACTGCTAGATATGGACATGTAGGCAACAGGACTGAGCCATTCAGCTCCACTGATGATGAGCAGGA